GGAATATATGTTTTCTAATGGACACTACTTTGCATCTGACAAAGTGGGTTCCAGACTACAAAAGCTTATGCCCAAATAATTCTTTTAAAATCTAATCTTTAGGGTGTTCTAGGACTCCTCATTGTTTTTACCATTTTGTTGCTCAGTTACCCAGTGCTGTGCGATCCCTTTTGTAAGTCTTTGCAGCCAGTTCTGGACTATATTCAATAATTCTGTACTACCTACAAATTTTGAAAGCTCACTGTTTACCCCTCCTCTCCAGATCATGTATGAATATGATGAATACAGAGATCTTTGTAAAGCAACTTGGGTGACCCAGCTAGTTGCCAATCTCTATTGTGAAAAGTTACCATTTATTCCTTCTCTTTGTTTCCTATCTTCTAATCCAGGAGTGGGCAAGATATGGACCACAGGCTGGGTTCAACCTGTCATACCTTTTAATTCAGCCTGCCAACCCCTGTGGCATGGAGCAGTGCCGCTCAAACTGGCTGGCTGCTCCCTGTGGCTCTGTGCTATGGGGAGGGGATGAAGCTTTGCATGCTGCCCTCATCCCCAGCAAAATCTCTCAGCTCCTATTGGCTGGAAACCTTGACCACTTACCAAAATCTTGGAGTGGCCCCCAATCAAAAATTATTGCCCACTTCTAATCAGTTACTCATCAGAAAGAAGACCTTCCCTCTTATCCTTTGTGACACAAGCAGATCAGCCCACCCCTGCAAGGCCAAAACTTAACAAGAGGCATTATGATTGTATCAGGATAGTTCACTTATATGTGAATTTCAAAGATCTACTAGACTAGCAACAAACAGGAAGAACTGGAGGCCCTGACCCAGTCCAAGAAGTATGACTTAATTGGGATAACAGAGACTGGGTGGGATGACTCGCATGACTGGAGCGCTGTCATGGAAGGGTATAGACTGTTCAGGAAAAACAGGCAGGAGAGAAAAGGAGGAAGAGTTGAGCTTAGGATAAGGGAGAAGCAGTGGAGGTCATATACCTAGACTTTAGTAAGGCATTTGATACGGTCTCGCATGATATTCTTATTGATAAACTAGGCAAATATAACTTAGATAGGGCCACGATAAGGTGGGTGCATAATTGGCTGGATAACCGTAGTCAGAGAGTGGTTGTTAACGGTTCTAAATCCTGCTGGAAAGGGATAACAAGTGAAGTTCCTCAAGGGTCTGTTTTGGGACCCATACTGTTCAATATCTTCATCAATGATGTAGATATTGGGATAGAGAGTACGCTTATTAAGTTTGCAGATGATACCAAACTGGGTGGGGTTGCAACTTCTTTGGAGGAGAGGGACATAATTCAAAATGACCTTAGCAAGTTAGAGAAATGGTCAGAGGTAAACAGGATGAGGTTTAATAAAGAGAAATGCAAAGTGCTCCACTTAGGAAGGAACAATCAGTTCCATACATACAAGATGGGAAGCGACTGTCTAGGAAGGAGCATGGCAGAAAGGGATCTAGGGGTCATAGTGGACCACAAGTTGAATATGAGTCAACAGTGTGATGCTGTTGCAAAAAAAGCAAATATGATTCTAGGTTGTATCAACAGGTGTGTTGTAAGCAAAACTCGTGAAGTCATTCTGCCGCTCTACTCTGCACTAGTTAGGCCTCAGCTGGAGTACTGTGTCCAGTTCTGGGCACCACATTTCAAGAAAGATGTGGAGAAATTGGAAAGGGTACAGAGAAGAGCAACAAGAATGATTAAAGGTCTAGAGAACATGACCTATGAAGCCAGGCTTCATGAACTGGGCTTGTTTAGTTTGGAAAAAAGAAGATTAAGGGGGGACATGATAGCGGTTTTCAAATATCTAAAAGGGTGTCACAAGGAGGAAGGAGAAAATTTGTTCCTCTTGGTTTCTGAGGACAGGACAAGGAGTAATGGGCTTAAAGTGCAGCAGGGGAGGTTTAGATTGGACATTAGGAAAAAATTCCTAACTGTCAGGGTGGTCAAATATTGGAATAAATTGCCAAGGGAGGTGGTGGAATCTCCCTCTCTGGAGATATTTAAGAACAGGTTAGATAGACATCTGTCAGGGATGGTGTAGACAGAGCTTGATCCTGCCTTGAGGGCGGGGGGCTGGACTCGATGACCTCTCGAGGTCCCTTCCAGTCCTATTATTCTATGATTCTATGATTAAATTAACTGCTTGCTTACACTGATTATTCAGTTTGTGTAGGGGAGTTGAGGTGTTGGCCTAAATTGCCCTGTAGGCAGGATCTTATTGTGTTAATGGTTTCATGAAAGGACTTCTGATAAGTAACAATATTTTTCTGCTGTTTTTTTCTCTGAAGAAATTGATCATTTTTATAGCTAGCTGGAATGCAATAAAGCTCCCTCAGCTGCTGTTTAGCGATACTCAAAGATCAAAAACAAAACAGGCAAAGCAAACAGCTAATTTCATTAGTTTATTATGTGTAATTACTAAACTTAGAAAAGTTTAAAACATCCCTTTGGTACAAACAGAAGTTAATTCTGTCATATTAGTAATTAATATTTTAAAAAAGAACTAGGGGGCAGACCCCCCTGCCCACTATGCTCACCAACCCCCTTCTCTCTGCCGGTAGGCAACCCTGGCTCTCTCCCCGCTTCCCAGACTGCAGGGGGGTGGGGAGGAAGAGGAGGAGCCTGGAGCTCCATGACCCATAGCTCACCCCCTCCTTCCATCCCTACCCCCACCTCCATCCTCCATTCCTACACCCCCATCTCCCTGCCTCCATTCCTACACCCACCCATCCTTCCTAACCCCTCCTCCTCCCCACACTGCCTATCCCTACCCCCTCCTCCTTCCTCCATTCCTACACCCTGTCCTTCCCTAACACCTCCCCTTCCAACTCCCCTCACTGCCCATCCCTCTACCTCCATTCCTATATCCCCCTCACCTCACCATCCCCCTTTACTGCACCACCCATCTCCACATACACCCTGTGACGGACCCGGCGGGGTCCGCACTAGAGGAGGGGGCGGGGACCCCCCCCCCCCCCCAGAGCGACCA